TTGGTTCCAGTGCTATACTGGCTAGGCTAGAGACCATCTCCAGCATCTCAGTACTGTGCACAGCTCTCTGGTTTCTCTGCTAAAATAAAAGCCTCGAGGGCTCTGATAAAATAAAAGGAATACAATGACAATACTGAGAGCTTACAGCCATTTCGAGAAACAGAACAGGCTGAGCTCTTTTCTCTAGAATAACGAACAGACAGAATTCTTTACAATGATGAGAATGTTTGTTCGGATAGATGTGGAGAAAATAGCTCCATTAGAGGAGAGTTCAAACCTTGGATCCATAAGTAGAAGACAATCATTAATAAATCCACTAAGAATTTCAGGAGAAACCTCTTTACCCAAAGAGAGAAATGAGAATGTGAAACTTGTTATAACAAGGTGAATGGCACAGATGCATTTGAAGGGAGCTCAGTCAAACGTATGATGGACAAATACGCTGATAGCCTGAGGTGATTCAAGGTGGGGGGAGACTCATACAGAGCCTAAAAATAGCACAAACTTGCTGTATCCTGAGGCCATGTGGCCTGTCTCTGTGCCGTAAATAGTTTATTCCTAGCAATGAATGGCACTATATAAATGCAAATGCCGTAGGATCATTTTGAGATTATAAATCAATGGGTTTCTTGTAGGTTCTGTGAGAACTTGCACAAAGCCAATATATTGTACGTTCAGCTGCAAACAGACTAAAGCCCTTCCAGCAATAGGCCCATCTCAGTGTGGAGGTGCTGTGACAGTGGTAATGTCATTTGACTAGTAATCCAGAGATTGAGGTTAAAATGCTGGGGATGTGGGTTTGAGTCACCATGACAGATAGTGGCATCTGACTATACAGCTAGTCTGATGGCCATCATGTAACTAATGTCATTAACAAGAGGAAAATAACTGGCGCACTTTATGGCCTTTAGGGGAGGAAATCTGCTGTCCTCACCTGGTCTGGCCCTACATGTTATTCCAGTCCCACAGCAATGTGGTTGACTTCTGGATTATTAAAGCTGGGCAATAAATGCTAGCCTAGCCAGTGACACCCATATATGTAAAAAAAATTGTGACAAAACCTGCACACTGGGGCCATAACTGAGTCATGAAGTATGGAGCATTTTTTTTTTAATGATGACCTGCCTTTGTGGGGGTTCAGCAATAAATCTGAAATGGCAGGTCATGGCCACTTTCTCAACGGCAGCTAGGGACAGGCAATAAATTCTGGCCCAGACTGCATAAACCACATCCTGTGAGTGTGAATCATTTCAAACTCATTTCAGGGAAGCTCTTGAAGGCTCAGGGCAGGGCAGAAATTGGACGCTACCACGTAAGTTCTGTCTCACTCAGTTCTCACTCCCCCCGCCCCCCCAACTCCATCATCCTCCACAGTGATCAGGAAGCATTCTCCAGAATCTGTGGAGGACAGGGTCAGCTCTCCAAGGACAGAGGTTGCTGGCCCTCCTCTGGCTGGTGAACCCAGATTAGTTCTAGAACTTAACCACCCAGCTGCCTTTCATAAATAGATTCGCTGCTCCTTTTCGCAAACTGTGTCAGCAGTCGCACGGCACCAGGTTATAGTCCAACAGGTTTATTTGAAATCACAAGCTTTCGGAGCGCTGCCCCTTTGTCAGGTGCTCAGAGTCAAACTGCTCAGAGGGTTGAACAATTGCCTCTGCCTCACAAACCCTCGCATTCAAACCTCACGCTGGAGATTTGAGAATGTCATCCAGTCAATCACAGCCAGGACTCAGAGAGTGCTACACCTTTCAAATGAGGCGCTCACTAAAGGCCATGCCTCCCCTCTCCAGTGGTTAAAGGACTCTGGAGCGCACTGGGGGAGGCAATGGCCTAGTGGTATTATTGCTGGACTGTTAATCCAGAGACGCAGATAATGTTATGGGCACCTGGGTTCAAATCCCACCACGGCAGATGGTGGAATTTTAATTCAATAAAATATCTCGAATTAAGAATCTAATGATGACCATGAATCCATTGTAGATTGTTGGAAAACCCCATCTGAGTCACTAAAGTCCTTTAGGGAAGGAACTTGCCATCCTGGCCTATATGTGACTCCAGACCCACAGCAATGTGGTTAACTCTTAACTGCCCTCTGGGCAATTAGGGATGGGCAATAAATGCTGCCTGGTCAGCAACGCCCTCATCCTGTGAATGAATAGAGAAAGAAAAACCTCCAAAGACAAGACCAGAGGCTTACTCTAGTGTCCAAGCTATCACTCAACTGAAAACACTAATCATTAATACCACCTCCTTCACAGGTCTCCCTGCATCACAGAGGCCAGTCTTTAGCCAACTCAATTCACTCCACATGATATAGAGAAAAAGTTGGTGGTACTGGATATTGCAAAGGTTAAAGATCCTGACAACATTCTGGTAGCAGTCCTGAGGACTCATACTCCAGATCCTGTCACTCCCCTAGCCAAGCTGTTCCAGTACAGTTACAACCCTGGCATCTACCCGACAATATGTCCTGAAGATAAAAAGCAGGACAAATCCAACGACCACCTCATCTGGATGAACACAGCAGGCCAAGCAGCATCATTGGAGCAAAAAGGCTGACATTTCGGG